AAAATAACCCTGATGAGTGTGGAACATCGCCAAGGTCTCAAGCTTGTGCTTTGCTGAGGCCTTTATGATATAAATGGACCTTGTACGCCACGCCACATGCTGCTCTGAACTGCTTTTTATTCACGTTAAGGGTAGAATATAGTCAGTAAAATCACATGTGATTTTATTGAATTATATCAGTTTGTGCAAGGGAGTAAAGACCATATGAATTTTAGATTTTTAAAAAGAAATATTTATGGGGAACCAGCAGTTAGCGTAATGGCTATGTCACTGGACTCCCACGTAGTCGACCGCGGTTCGTGTCCCAGACCCGGTGGCTTAAAACTCACGCCGGGCGCGTGTGCGTGCGTGCCCAAGATCCCGAGAGGAGAATGGAGGAGAAGGGATTGCGGCGTGACCATCCCCCCTGGGGGGTGATTTCTCGCTTTCTGTCTCTATGTCTCTCTCTGTCTGTCTGGCGAGCACACGCGCCCTACAGTGAAAATCTCTCTCTCAAAAAAAAAGAAAGAAATATTTATGTTGTTACAGTGACTACAGTAGTATATTACAGTAGTTTATGTGGTTACAGTGATTACAGTTCTTTCGTTTGTTTGTTTTAGCTTTTGCAATAGGCTATGTGTGTTCACCAGAGAGACAGACGAACAAAGAGAGAAAAGTGAGAAATAACCCCTCAGGGTAGATGGCCATGCCATGATCCATTCTCTTCCATTCTCCTCTCAGGAATTTGGGCATGCATGCACATATGCCCAGTATGTGTTTGAAGCTGCCAGTTTCTGCACTTAAACGCCATAGTCAGCCCTGTGGGATCCAGCGCCTTGACCACGATGCGACGTGCTGCCTCAGGGATCAGAGTTTTAGGACTAAGTGATTAGACTGGACCCACGTAGGTAATCCAGGATGCTTTCTCCATCTCGGAGTCCTTACTTGTAATCACATCTGTAAAATCCCTTTGCCGTGGAAAGTAGCACATTCACAGGTTCTGGCAGTAGGATGCGGACATATTGGGGAAGGGAGTGTTACTTCTTCAACCACAAAGATGGAGGAGATAAAACAGACATGTTGTAGATTATGATAGGATGATGTATAGATAATTAGAAAAGAAAGAAACATCAAGAACCAGTATAGATTTATTTAATTACAGCAGGTATCATTTTCTTATCTATCAGAGTTACTGGGAGTACCAGAGATAACTTTTTTAAAGAGATTTTTGCTATAGGGCATGTACACTAGCCAGAAAGACAGAGACAGAGGGACAGAAAGTAAGAAATCACCCCCCAGGGGGATGGCCATGCTGCAATCCATTCTCCTCTCAGGATTTTGGGCATGCATGCACATGCACCTGGGCATGAGTTTCAAGCTGCTGAGTCTGGGAATTGAACTGTGGTTGACCGTGTGGGAGTCCAGCAACTTAACCACTATGCCATATGCTGGCTCCACCAGAGACAAATTTATCAGTCTAGTTTCCTCTTAGGATGTTCTTGTGGAAATATGAATGTGTGTGAGAAGTCAGTTTTATTCACAAGTCATTGGACAAGTGATGAAAAGTGGACATAGATGGAAATGTGGATTAGACTCTTCTGGTATGTCACGGGTCTTTTGTACTTGGTCCTTTATTTGCAGCATTATCAGTGACTTGGATGAGGACTTCAAGGCCAGGTGTCAAATCTACAGGTGACATAAGAGGATAAAAATTTAGAAAGAATCTCAATCGACTGGGATTGTAAGATGAAAATGCATGCACTGTTACAATACTAAACGTTCAGTCTTAAATCTCAAGGATTAAATTAGTTAAATACAGGATGAATGGTTCTGGATTCAGTGTCAGGTTTTGGAAGAAAAAGGAAAGTATGGCTTTGTCTGTAAAAGTTTAACATCATTGAGCATCTGTTATGTATCAAGTACTTACATAAAGGCCTTTGTTTTTTTTCAAGGCTGTTTATTTATTTCTTCACAAGAGAGACAGAGAGACAGAGAGACAGGCATTGCCAACAGTGTCTCGATACCACAGTCCACATGATCCTGGATCATGGGCATGCATGCACTCATGTCTTTTTTTATTTAAGAGATTTTTGCCTTAGACCATATGTACTTGCTGGAGAGAGAGAGACAGAGATAGTGAGAGGGAAAGTGAGATATCCATCCCCAGGAGAATGGCCATCTTTCAATCCCTTCTTTTCCATTCTCTTCCCAGGATCTTGGGCACTCAAACACCTGTGCTCAACAAGAGTTTCAAGCCATCAGGCCCAGGACTCGAACCACAGTTGGCCATGGGGAGTACAGCGACGTAACCACTACACTATCTGCTGACTTCTCCTCTGTAGGTGCAATGTACAGCAACATAACCACTACACTATCTGCTGACTTCTCCACCCATGTCTTTAGGAACGTCTGTAGGTGCAAACACAGAACCTTCCCATGTGGATCAGCCTTGCAGAGCTTTGTATTTCTGTTGCACTGCTGCCCAGCTCCCACAAAGGGCTCTATGTATGTCATATACTTTTACTCACAAAAAATCCATAGGGGCCAGCTAGTGGAGCAGTGGTTAAGGGAGCTGGATCCCACGTGGCCGACTGTGCTATTTGAGTCTCTGACCTTGAGAAACAGGCTGGGCACCTATGTGTGTGTGTGCCCACAATCCAAAGACAAGACTGAAGGAAAGGGAGTTGTGGTATGGCCATCCTAGAGAGTACGTTCTCACTTTCTCACTCTCTGTCTCTCCTCAGCAAGCACATGTGCCCTGTAGCAAAATTAAGACAAAAAACCAGAAACTTTTAAACTCTATAAGGCAATGGTGAGTCTTTGCTTCAAGTAAATTAAGGTTCACAGTCATGAAGCAACTTGCCCAAGATTACCAAATCATTTATCATACAAACTCAGATCTGACCCCAAGAAGCAAACTCATACATGGAAATTACAAAGGTGTTTTTGAAAGATCAAGGAATTTTAGCTACATTAGTAAAAGCAGAGTGTTTAGGTCATTATAGAAAACAACTGGACTGTATTATCCATTTTCATTTTCTCACTTTAAGAGAGGCTTTATGTGTGAAAGAGCAAGATCAGGATCTTGAATGGTCAGGACACAAAGTCATAGGAGTAATTGAGCAAATTTGGTATTTCTTACCTAAAAGAAACTCAGGCTTAGGGTGGATAGCACAAAAACATAGTTACTCCCTGAAAGTATTTGAAAAATAATTTTTTTTTCTAAATGTAATATGGAAGCAGATTTTGATTCAAGAGCAGTTGATAATGATTTATGTCATGAAGTCCACACTCAGAGCCAAGTTTAGTGTGAGTCCCTTAAAGCAGCAACCTAGTTCTTTCATCTTTGAGGTTAAGTCTCGCCTTGCAGGGACACATGCTCAGTTTGTTGAATGTGTGAACAAATAACCTTGTCAGGCACGTGGTACAAGAAATTACTGAAGTGGGAAGCAAGTTAGCAGAGATGAACTTTAGGGTTATTTCTACATCTGGGAGTTTGCTTTGATTTGATTGAGATGGTTGACTCGAGATAAGCGGGCAAATGTCCATTATGAATTGTTTTAATTGTTCTTCAGTGACCCCTACTCTTTTTTTTTTTCTGTAGAATTGCAGGGTTGATTGGCTAAATCATAGAAAAACAAATTAAATTTGCAACCTAGCCACTTTCTATAAACCAGGGTCCTGAGGGCTTGTAGCTATGACAACAGCTGCCTTGAGTAAAGTGAAATTTGTTTAGAGGGTTCATTTAAGAAGTGAGTCATAAGCTGTGGAGCATAAAGATGACCGCGGGGTCAGACATAGAAGGGGATATCATAGAACAGGGCCAGGGTCAGTGGTGCTCCATGTTATGTGATTTGAGGAACCTAGAGAAAAGCCACTATCTGGCTTTAATGTGTTAAAAAGTAATGTTGATGGGTCTTCAGAAATTTATGGAAAGTGCATAATATAAAACCTATGCATGGATTTCAAAGATTTTTTTGCACCAAATAACCTCCTATTTAAATTCTGTTTTGTTTTGTGTTTCTACAAACTTTTCGTAGGCCCTGTATGTCAAAAATCCAGTCTTCAATGCAGCAAATGTGTAACTATGACTTACTTGTAGTTCCAGTGGAGCAGATACCTAAACTTCCCCTAATATTTCTACCTTATTTTTCTTTTTAAGTTTTTTTTTTTCCACAAGAGCAAGAGACAGGTACTCTCTTTTAATACTTTTTTATATTTTTAAGTTTTTGCAGTAGGTGCTTGCATTCGTCAGAGAGAGAGAGAGTGAGAGAGACAGAGACAGGGAACGTGAAACATCATCCCACCAGAAGGAGGGGTGGCCATGCTGCAATCTCTTCTCCTCCATTCTCCTCTCAGGATTTGGGCATGCACATACACACACCTAGCATGATTTTCAAGTCTGTGGGTCTGAGACTTGAACAGTGTCAGCCATGTGGGAATCCAGCACCTTAACCACCACGAGACAGGTGCTTTGAAAGGCTCTTGCCACACCGTGACCCTTCCCTGCTCCCTCCCTTACCATTTGCTGCCTCTCAGCCAGCCAAGATCATGGATACACCTGTGGGCATGCATGGCATGTTTAGATCAAACCATTTGGTAAACTCATGGCTCCTGTATCATACTCTCCCATCTGTACCACACCACTGGGTCTTAGCATTCCCTCATTCCTTCATCCTGTGTTGATGCTCATCTGTTGGACCCAAGTAGAATGGATGCCATTGCACCCACCTGAAGTGTGATCCTGTTTATATCTATCCCACACACACCTGTATTTTATACCCAATTATTTATAATCTGTGCCATTATTAAGTTATTATAATTTGAGACCATGTCATGATACCTATGAGTAACTCATATATAGTTATTTAGCCCTTTAGAAGGTATCTCATTGGGATTTAACTTTGAGGATTTCCACGTTGGTTTTCCACTGCAGTCATTCTAGCTAACCACCACTTATTCTTTTGTCTTAGGTGCCTGAAATTTCCACCATTAGGTTCTTCTTTTAGATTTTTTTTTAAAAGAATATGGAGTAATTCACAAATCTGTGTGTCATCCTTGCTCAGGGGCCATGCTAATCTTTTCTGTATCAATCCAGTTTTAGTATATGTGCTGCCTAAGTGAGCACTATTTTTTTACTTTTTAGAGAATTCTTCATTTAGAATAGGAAATCTTCTGAAGCACTTTAATAGAGTTAGGTTATTAGATTAATTTGCCAACCTTTTTTTCCTTATATCCTTCTTGCATCAGGCAGGGTCTCTTTAGGAAACTGAGGGCATTTTCAAGCTGGGTAATTGGGGAGAATGAAATAAAAAGGCTATTTACTAAGCATATGGTTTAGAAAAATCAAGAGGGCTGGGACAGTACCAGGCTAGTAACAGTGGGGTTTCATTGTACCTAGGTGTGATGGGGAGGACAGTTTCTGGAACGTGGAAAAGTAGCTATACGAAGAAGGCTCCCTTAAAGTCGCTATGCTACTTTGTAGAAGAGTGAAGTAAAGAGTGAGCTGGAGAGTAAATATCCGATTAACTCTCCTTCTGTCAATTACTGGTTTCTCACACTAACGAAACCTCACCAGAACCAGAGGACAAGGAAGCCCATTGGTGTGGCTTGTCTCCTGGGATGGGGTGGACAATGGATCTGGAGAGGGAAAAGACAGAAATCTAGCACAATCTAAAACAGAAATGGTGTGCCTAGGTCCTGCTTGACCACCCCCTAATTTT